TGATTTCTTAGGCAATTCTGTTGTGGTATGACAACATAGTTTGTATGATTTAAATCTTTTACATTTATTGAGATTTGTTTTATACCCTAGCATGCAGCCTGAATTAGGGAAGGCATAAATTTATTAGCACACATACAAAGTAAAATTGGAAAGAATGTACATTTTGCAGTCACAGGGTATTATGTTCCATAAACATCAGGAGTTTAATAGTAATGCTGAGATAATCAACGTCATTACTGATTTTTTTAAATAGTTCTATCAATTGCCAAGAAAGGAATATAGTATCTCCTACTATGATTATAGAATTATCTATTTCTCCTTTTAATTCTGTCATTTTGTGCTTCATGTATTTTGAGTTTCCATTGTAAAGCACATAAACGTTTACGGTTTTTTTTTTTATGATTAATTGACTTTTATTATAAAATGTTTCTCTTTTTCTGAGACTTTATTTAATATTTTTATCAGACATTTGTGCTTACTGTTTTCAGTTTTTTCAACCTATGTCTTTATAGTAAAAGCACATCTCTGATTTAAGTTACGTGTGCAGCCCCCAAAGGGCTATCTCCATTCTATCCCCTCCATAAAAAAAATGAGGGGATGTGAGGAGAGCGGGGAAGGGACACCAGCCTTGCCCCTTCCCGTGGCTTCATCTTGCCTAGCCATTATGCTCAATGTTAACCTCGGCTGGCCTTCACTAAGGGAACTAGGTCCCTCCTCTTCCCAGGAACCGCTGTGCCAGCCCCAGAATGGTTTCCAATAATCAAGAAATGTGTCGAGTCATTTTTCTTTCAACTCCTTCATTTTTCATTGAACAAATCTCTGCTTTTGAAGAGTTGGGGGTTTCTGCTATTTTTGTTTTCTTTTCTCTCTCTCTCTCCCCCATTAAGTAAGAGAACCAATAAATTTTAGGCATGTTTGTGTGTGTAGACTGTGTCATCCAAATGTAACTTGATTAGAGGAGAAGTGTTTTCATTGTGAGTGTGTCTTGCTATAAATATCTGTTTATATTTTTTGTGAAATTAATACAATGTACTATTGTATTATAGTAACTTTTATAAAGCAAACAAAAAAGAAATAAAAGCATATCTCTTTAGGGCAATAATTGGTAGATCTTGCTTTTTAAATATTTATTCTGATAATCTCTGACTTTATTTGAATGTTTAGGCCACTAACATTTAACTTAATTCTTGATTAATTATAATTGTTTATTTCAACTTAAGTCTAACATTTTCAAATTTCCAATTTCCAGGTTTTCAGCCACTATACAAGTGACATTATTCTTGAGTAACAGATTTCTCCTCTCATTTATCTATGCATTCATTCAAAATATGTACTTATGGACAATACATAGTAGTAGTTAATTAACCTCATCCTCTCATGTTTTTCATTGCTATAAATAAATGCCCAATTTTAGACAATTTATAAAAACATTAGGCAATTTTGGCTCATGATTCTGCAGACTTATGGCAAGCATGGTGCCAACTTCTGCTTAGCTTCTGGTGAAGCCTTAGAAAGCTTAAAATTATGACAGAAGGTAAAGTGAGAGCTGGAATATCACATGGAGACAGAGGTGCCAGGCTTTTTCAAACAACCAGCTCTCATATGAATTACAGAACAAGAGCTCACTCATTACTAGGAGAAGACACCAAGCCAATCATGAGGGATCTACCCCATGACCCAAAACCTCCCACCAGGCCCAATCCCCAACGTTGGGGATTGTAATTCAACATGAGATTTGGAGAGGACACACATCTAAACTACATTGCCTCACAAACCAAACTGTGCAAAATAGTAGGCTAGGGGCTAGGAATGTATCATCAAAGACTAAAGGAATAGATCCTTACTCCTAAGAAGTATCAAGTTTGATACTGTAACTAAAAACTACTACATAAAGATGTAAGTGGAATTTGATAAATTCTATAAGGAAAAAAAAAACAGGTGATAGTGTAAAACATATCAATTCTTGTTTAAAAAATAAGGAAAATATGACATGTGAAAAGACCTGAAGAATGCATAGAATATGAACAGATACAGAAAAGAAAAACGGTATACTGAACAAAACCTAAGATAATTGAAGTAAAGGCCCAATGGTAATAAGATGTGGTACATATGTAGCAGAAAATACGTTGCTTTTTTCTGGTATTCTATAATCCTAGGCTAAAAGTGGAAAATATTCTTCAGCCTTTGGGTGGAAAACCATGAAGATTTTGTCCTTCTTTGTTTGTATGTAAGATACAATGTTATTAGAACTCTATTTAAGAAAGATAAATATTATAGCAGTGAGTGATTTCTTGAAACAGAGATTCTGAAAACAAAGAAAGAAATTAGGAGACTTTTAAAAGTGTCAGTGGGTTGATGTTCAACCAGGTAATGAGAGACTCTGACTTTTGACTCTTTGGGTCCCCAGTGTCTTGCTTTAAACCAAAACATTTTGTGTTTATTTCTGGACACTTTGGCTTTGTATCCTGACACATTGACTGCCTTTTCTACTTGCTAATTTCCTACTTTGCTGTAGAATTTTCTTGCTGCTTGATTTTCTGTTACTGTGTCAGTCTGCTGAGAATGATGGTCTCCAGCTTCATCCATGTCCCTGCAAAGGACATGAATTCATTCTTTTTTATGGCTGCATAGTATTCCATGGTGAATATGTCCCACATTTTCCTTATCCAGTCTATCATTGATGGGCATTTGGGTTGGTTTCAAGGCTTTGCTATTGTAAACAGTGCTGCAATAAACATACATGTGCATGTGTCTTTATAATAGAATGTTTTATAATTCACTGGGTATATGCCTAGTAATAGGATTGCTGGGTCAAATGGTATTTCTATTTCTATATCCTTGAGGAATCTCCACACTGTCTTCCACAATAGTTGAACTAATACACTCTAACCAACAGTGTAAAAGTGTTCCGATTTCTCCACATCCCCCCTAGCATCTGTTGTCTCATGATTATTTAATGATCACCATTCTAACTGGCATGAGATGGTATCTCAATGTGGTTTTGATTTGCATTTCTCTAATGACCAGTGATGATGAGCTTTTTTTTTCGTATGTTTGTGGGCTGCATAGATGTCTTCTTTTGAAAAGTGTCTGTTCATATTCTTGGCCCACTTTTTCATGGGGTTGTTGGCTTTTTTCTTATAAATTTGGTTAAGTTCTTTGTAGATTCTGATGATTAGCCCTTTGTCAGATGGGTAGATTGCAAATTTTTTTTCCCATTCTGTTGGTTGCTGCTTCACTCTAATGATAGTTTCTCTTGCTGTGCAGAAGCTCTTAAGTTTAATTAGATCCCATTTGTCTATTTTGGCTTTTGTTGCCCTTGCTCTTGGTGTTTTAGTCATGAACTTCTTTCCTATGCCTAGGTCCTGAATGGTATTGCCTAGGTTTTCTTCTAGGGTTTTTATGGTGTTAAGTCTTATGTTTAATCTTTAATCCATTTGGAGTTAATTTTTTGTATAAGGTGTAAGGAAGGGACCCAGTTTCAGCTTTCTGCATATGGCTAGCCAGTTTTCCCAGCACCATTTATTAAATAGGGAATCCTTTCCCCATTGCTTGTTTTTGTCAGGTTTGTCAAAAATTAGATGGTTGTAGATGTGTGGCATTACTTCTGAGGCTTCTATTCTGTTCTATTGGTCTATATGTGTGCTTTGGTACTGGTACCAAAGGCTATTACTGTAGCCTTGTAGTACAGATTGAAGTCAGGTTGTGGGATGCCTCCAGCATGTTTTTTGTTTGTTTGTTTGTTTGTTTTTGTTTGTTTGTTTTGTTTTGTTTGCTTAGGATTGTCTTGGCTACTCATGCTCTCTTTTTGTTCCATATGAAGTTTAAGGTGTTTTTTCCCCAATTCTGTGTAGAAGGGCAATGATAGCTTGATGGGGATAGCTCTGAATTTATAAATTACTTTGAGAAGTATGGCCATTTTCACGATACTGATTCTTCCTAACCATAAGCGTGGAATGTTTTCCCATCCGTTGGTGTCCTCTCTTATTTCCTTGAGCAGTGGTTTGTAGTTCTCCTTGAAGAGGTCCTTTATATCCCTTTTTAGTTGTATTCCTAAGTGTTTTATTCTCTTTGTAGCCATTGTGAATGGAAGTTCACTCATGATCATCTGCAAATAGAGATAGTTTGACTTCCTCTTTTCCCAACTGAATACCCTTTATTTTTTTTCTTGCCTGATTGTCCTGGCCAGAACTTCCAGTGCTGTGTTGAGTAGGACAGACCCACAGCCAATATCATACTGAATGGGCAAAAACTGGAAGCATACCTTTTGAAAGCAGAATTTTCTAAATTTTCACTGGTTCTGGGTTCTACCCATTTCATGAATTGTTCTTTGCTTAGTTAAATTTTGTTTCTTTTAGCAAACTATATGAAAAAATAATGTGTGTGGTTAAGCAGTACTAAGTATGTGGTAAGATGCTGCTGTTGAGTCAGTGTAAGTTAAACAATTGTGGAATATAATATAGAAAATATAAGAATTAGATTCAGTGAATTTCTCTGTGAAAATGTTTTGGCTGGGCGCGGTGGCTCAAGCCTGTAATCCCAGCACTTTGGGAGGCTGAGATGGGTGGATCACGAGGTCAAGAGATCGAGACCATCCTGGTCAACATGGTGAAACCTCCTCTCTACTTAAAATACAAAAAATTAGTTTGACATGGTGGCGCGTGCCTGTAATCCCAGCTATTCAGGAGGCTGAGGCAGGAGAATTGCCTGAACCCAGGAGGCAGAGTTGCGGTGAGCCAAGATCACGCCATTGCACTCCAGCCTGGGTAACAAGAGCAAAACTCCGTCTCAAAAAAGAAAAGGAAATGTTTTAATAGTGATTTTCTTTTCCAAAGTCACTGTTAAATCACAGGTTGAAAAGGTACTTGGGAAAAATTCTTCTTAGTAATTAACAGGTTCTTATCAATTTTATTGATATAGCTTTCAAAACTATGTGGACAGAAAATAAAATGTGCTTAGCTCTTGTATAAGGTATAATATTTGTTTTCTGTTTCATGTAGGTCAGGACACTAAAGATGAATTTGTGGATGAAAAATTGGATACCAGTTTTAGGATATCAGTTTTCAAACTACCCATATATACTTTAGGTTCATTGAAGAATGCTATAGTTTTAAAAGAGAAAAAACAGGATTTTTTTCTTGAGCATCCTCAGCCATTGTTTACTACTCCTCTAAAGTCAATCATTAAAAAAGACCCACCAGTGGAGAGAAACATAAAAGAGTTTTTTGCAACACAAAGAGCTGGTATGAAACTCCAAACACTTGTTGATATTGACAAATATTACACAGAACAAAATAAGCAGGAATGCCATAAAGAAAAAGTGAGAGTTGTAGCCATGGCACAACTTGCTCGAGAAAGAGGTAGAGTAACTGTTAGTAAATATTTGAATGAGAAAATATGTGCTGCACAACAACTAATTAAAGAAGACAATGAGACAATTCAGAACGGTTTACGACAAGTTTGGCAAAACAGATTCAACTATCTTGAAAAAACTAGTGAGAGGAGAGCTCTGTTTCTAAAAGAAAAATCCCGAAAGGCTGCAGAGCGTTTATTAGTTCAAAACTTAAATAATGAACGCACTGTTTTGACCAAAGGACTACTTAAAGTTGACAGAATGAAGAAGAATGAAGCTGTTCTAAAAGAGAAAAGCCTAATTGTTAAGCAAAAACTAAAAGCAGAAAAAATTGGAAAGAATTTACTTAAAGAAATTAGAAAAGTCAGGTAGGTACAGTTTAGAAATAATAGAAACATTTAAGTCCATGACATGTAAATAACACTAAATGTTAAGATCTAATAGTATTTTGTTTATGACATAGTACATTACTTGGAAAATTAAAACAAAGGACGAATAATATACTAATATATTACCAAAGATAGGGCAATAAAATAACTCTCTCTTTCTCCATCTCTTTACCACGTGCAACAAAACCTATCTCTTGGTTATGAGTTGTTCTCATTATAAATGGCATCATCATCAGCCTCTTGACCAGTGCTAACAGCCTCAGTCTTCACTGATTACACATAATATGTTTTCCTACTCACTGTACTTCAAAAAGGAGTCTCAAAAGGATCCTTCCTTTTCAATACTACCACTTCTGTTGTAACTTAGGCTCTCATAGTCTCTACGAATTTACATTATTCTTCCAATTGAGATCTTCATCCCTATTCTTCATCTTTTCTTCAATCCAAGTCTTTTCTCTGGACCACAAACTTCAACTGTCTTTAAAATAAAATTCTGATCATATAACTTTCTATTTAAACATATTAATAGCTTGCAGTTGTTCACAGAATAAAACTGAATTTGTTCTAAATGGCATTTCAGATAATGTGCTATGTTCTTTTTATTGTAGACTTATTTCACACTAAATTTTCTGTTATAGCTTCCTTCCTCCAACCCCTAGCAGTGCTCTGCTCTAAACAGACTATTTTTTACTCCCTACCCAACTTTATACTCTTGTTCCTATGACTTTATTGATACTGTCCCCTATTTTCTCAAATATATACTTCTTAAGAGCACTACAAACTCACAATGTTAATGTTGTCTAGATATTATTATGCAACACAAGCCTCTATGTTATTGTGCAAATCAGAATGCTTTGCTGTGTTCTAATTGGTGAGAAGGTAGTGCCTACATTTGAATGAAAAGATAGTTTTTTCTCCACGGAGGTGCCTCACAAGTGGCTGATTCTTGGCTGTGTGTATCCTTGTCTCATACCTATTTGCCCTCATCATACAGTGCATGGACTGCACAATCACTAGTAAAATTTATCCTTTTATTACCCATCCTTTAGTAACCAACCCAATGGCATTTTCACTTTTAATTAGTCTCTTTAATTTTGTGGTGATTCCATATACTTTATTGGAATCTCAATGTTACCAGTTATAACAAGAGGGCTTTTATTATGGTTGCATGATTGAGTGGTAAAATCTTTTTTTTTTTTTTAATTCTTTATTTTACTTTAAGTTCCAGGATACAAGTATAGAACGTGGTTTGTTTCATAGGTATACACGTGCCACGGTGGTTTGTTGCACCTATCATCCCATCTTCTAGGTTTAATCCCCACATGCATTTGCTATTTGTCCTAATGCCTTCCCTCCCCTCACCCCCCATCCCCTAACTGGTCCCAGTGTGTGTTGTTTCCCTCCCTGTGTACATGTGTTCTCATTGTTCAACTCCCACTTATGAGTGAGAACATGCAGTGTTTGATTTTCTTTGCCTGTGTTAGTTTGCTGAGAATAATGGCTTCCAGCTTCATCCATCTCCCTGCAAAGGACATGTTTTCATTCCTTTTTATGGCTGCATAGTATCTCATGGCATATTTATACCACATTTTCTTTATCCAATCTATCATTGATGGGCATTTGGGTTAGTTCCATGTCTTTGCTATTGTGAATAATGCTGCAATAAACATATGTATGCATGTATTTTTATAGTAGAATGATTTATATTTCTTTGGGTATATAATCAGAAATGGAATTGCTGAGTCAAATGGTCAAATGGTATTTCTGGTTCTAAATACTTGAGGAATCACCTCACTGTCTTCCACAACAGTTGAACTAACTTACATTCCCATCAACAGTGTAAAAGCGTTCCTATTTCTCCACAGCCTTGCCAGCATCTGTTGTTTCTTGACTTTAAAAATCACCATTCTGACTGGAGTGACGTGCTATCTCATTGTGGTTTTGATTTGCATTGCCCTAATGATCAGTGATGCTGACCTTCCTTTTCATGTTTGTTGGCTGCATAAATATCTTCTTTTGAGAAGTGTCTGTTCACATCCTTTGTCCACTTTTTGATGGGGTTGTTTTTTGTTTCTTGTAAATTTGTTTAAATTCCTTGTAGATTCTGGATATTAGACCTTTGTCAGATGGATAGATTGCAAAAATTTTCTCTATTTCTGTAGGTTGCCTGTTCTCCCTGATGCTCATTTCTTTTGCTCTGCAGAAACTCTTTAGTTTAATTAGATCACATTTGTCAATTTTGGCTTTTGATATGATTACTTTTGGTGTTTTAATCATGAAGTCTTTGCCCAGGCCTATGTCCTGAATGGTATTGCCTAGGTTTTCTTCTACAGTTTTTATGCTTTTGAGTTTTACATTTAAGTCTTTAATCCATGTTCAGTTAATTTGTATAAGACATAGGAAGGGGTCCAGTTTCAGTTTTCTGCATGTGGCTAGCCAATTTTCCCAGAACCATTTCTTAAATACGGTATCCTTTCCCCATTACTTGTTTTTGTCAGGTTTGTCGAAGAGCAGATGGTTGTAGTTGTAGATGTGTGGTGTTATTTCTGAGGTCTCTGTTATGTATCATTGTTCTATATGTCTCTTTTGGTACCAGTAACATGCCGTTTTGGTTTCTGTTGCCTTGTAGTATAGTTTGAAGTCAGGTAGCATGATGCCTCTAGCTTTGTTCTTTTGCTTAGGCTTGTCTTGGCTGTATGGGCTCTTTTTTTGGTTCCATATGAAATTTAAGGTAGTTTTTTTTGTTTTTTTTTTTTTAATTCAATGAAGAATGTCAATGGTAGTTTGATGGAAAAGCATTGAATATATAAATTACTTTGGGCAGTATGGCCATTTTCATAATCTTGATTTGAATTCTTCCTGGTTGTCTTGTGAGGGTATATGTGTCTAGGAATTTTTCCATTTCTTCTAGATTTTGTAGTTCATTTGCATAGACTTGTTTATAGTATTCTCTTACTAGTAGTTGTATTTCTGTGGGATCAGTGGTGACATCTACTTTATCATTTTTTGTTGTGTCTATTAGATTCTTCTCTCTTTTCTTCTTTATTAGTCCAGCTAGCACTCTATTTTGTTAATCTAAAAAAAAAATATCTCTTGGATTCACTGATTTTTTGGAGGGTTTTTGGTGTCTCTGTCTCCTTAGTTCTGTGCTGATCTTAGTTATTTCTTGCCTTCTGCTAGCTTTTGGATTTGTTTGCTCTTGTATTTTTTTTTTTTTTGGCTTGTTTATTGAATGGATTTTTACTCTTGTAGTCCAGGTTGGAGTGCCATGGCATGATCTTGGCTCACTGCAACCTCTGCCACCCAGGTTTAAGCAATGCTCCTGCCTCAGCCTCCCAAGTAGCTAGAATTACAGGCTTGCACCACCATGCCCAGCTAATTTTTTTTTTTTTTTTTGTATTTTTAGTATAGATGGGGTTTCACCATGTAAGTCAGGCTGGTCTCAAACTCCTGACCTCAGATGATCCACCTATCTTGGTCTCCCAAAGTGCTGTGATTACAGGTATGAGCCACCACTCCTGGCCTCTATCTGTTTTAATTGTGATGCTAGGGTGTTGATTTGAGATCTTCCCAGCTTTCCAATGTGGGCATTTAATGCTTAAATTTCCCTCTTAACATTGCTTTAGCCACATCCTAGAGATTCTTGTATATTGTCTTTTTGTTCTCATTGATTTCCAATAACATCTTGATTTGTGTCTTAATCTCATTATTTACCCAGGAACCATTCAGGAGCATGTTGTTAAATTTCCATGTAATTGTGTGGTTTTGAGTAAGAGTCCTAATCCTGAATTCTAATTTGATTGCACTGTGGTATGAGAGACTGTGGTGATTTCAGTTCTTTTGCATTTGCCTAGGAGTGTTTTACTTCTAATTATGTGGTCAGTTTTAAAATAAGTACCATGTGGCACTGAGAATAATGCGTATTATGTTGATTTGGGGTGGAAAGTTCTGTAGATGTCTATTAGGTCCGCTTGATCCAGAGCTGTATTCAAGTCCTGAATATCCTTGTTAATTTTATGTCTTGTTGATCAGTCTAATATTGATATTAAGGTATTAAAGTCTCCCACTATTATTGTGTGAAAGACTAAGTCTCTTTGTAGGTCTCTAAGAACCCCTGCTTTTTTTCCCCTCTCTTTCCATTTGCTTGGTAAATTTTTCACCATCTCTTTATTTTGAGCTAATGTGTATCTTTGCACATGTGTGTCTCCTGAATACATCACACCTATGGGTCTTGACTATCCAATTTGCCAGTCTGTGTCTTTTAATTGGGGCATTTAGCCCATTTACATTTCAGATTAATATCATATATGTAAGTTTTATCCTGTCATCATGATGCTATCTGTTTATTTTGCATTCTAGTTGGTACAGTTTCTTCATAGTGTCATTGGTCATTATATTTTGGTGTTTTTTGCAGTGGTTGGTACCAGTTTCTTCTTTTCATGTTAGAGCTTCCTTCAGGAGCTCTTGCAAGGCAGGCCTTGTGGTGATGAAATCCCTTAGCATTTGCTTGTCTGGAAAGGATTTTATTTCTCCTTCACTTATGAATCTTAGTTTGGCTGGATAGTGAAATTATGGGTTGAAAACTTTTTTCTTTAAGCATGTTGAATATTAGGCCCCTCTCTGTTCTGGCTTACAAGGTTTCTACTGAAAGGTCCACTGTCAGTCTGATGTGCTTCCCTTTGTAGGTGACCTGGTTTTTCTCTCTGGCTGCCCTTAACAGTTTTTTCTTCATTTCAACCTTGGAGAATCTGATGATTATGTGTGTTGGGGTTGATCCTCTCATTTAGTATCTCAGTAGTGTTCTCTGTACTTCCTGAATTTGAATGTTGGCTTTTCTTGCTAGGTTGGGGAAGTTCTCCTGGATAATATCCTGAAGTGTGTTTTCCAGCTTGGTTCCATTCTCCCCATCTCCTTCAGGTACTCCAATCAGTCATAGGTTCAGTATTTTTACATAGTCTCATATTTCTGGGAGGTTTTGT